ACTGAACTCATTATCTCCTATGCATTGAAGTCTTACCCACGCTGCCGAATTTTGTCCAAACTCTCGTACAAAAACACCAAATATTTTTAATTCATATTTCAACGTCATTGAAAATAATGAACCCTCAAAAACAATGAATTACAAATACTTTGTAAAATCTCGTAGTATGAACGACAGTCATTATATTACCTTTATAATAAATGCCGATGTATTTGCAGCATCACTCGCTTGGCAGCTTTGTTTGGAGGACTCCTGGCCACCTCCTACATACACTTGTCAGGAGGGTTCTTGATCCCATGACATAGAGCTGCTGTTTGCCTTCTAGGATCGAAACTGATTACCTTCCAGTACCTCCAAGATGTGTATGGCCCCTTCTAATTTAGCGCTTTCCCGTGAGTATAATATTGTGTTATCTTACAAGCTAGGCTTCATCTGCGTTATCTTACAAGCCAGGCTTCATCTGCGTTATCTTACAAGCCAGGCTTCATCTGCGTTATCTTACAAGCTAGGCTTCATCTGCGTTATCTTACAAGCCAGGCTTCATCTGCGTTATCTTACAAGCTAGGCTTCATCTGCGTTATCTTACAAGCCAGGCTTCATCTGCGTTATCTTACAAGCCAGGCTTCATCTGCGTTATCTTACAAGCTAGGCTTCATCTGCGTTATCTTACAAGCCAGGCTTCATCTGCGTTATCTTACAAGCTAGGCTTCATCTGCGTTATCTTACAAGCTAGGCTTCATCTGCGTTATCTTACAAGCTAGGCTTCATCTGCGTTATCTTACAAGCCAGGCTTCATCTGCGTTATCTTACAAGCTAGGCTTCATCTGCGTTATCTACAAGCCAGGCTTCATCTGCGTATCTTACAAGCTAGGCTTCATCTGCGTTATCTTACAAGCCAGGCTTCATCTGCGTTATCTTACAAGCTAGGCTTCATCTGCGTTATCTTACAAGCTAGGCTTCATCTGCGTTATCTTACAAGCTAGGCTTCATCTGCGTTATCTTACAAGCCAGGTTCATCTTGCGTTATCTTATAAGCTAGGCTTCATCTGCGTTATCTTACAAGCTAGGCTTCATCTGCGTTATCTTACAAGCCAGGCTTCATCTGCGTTATCTTAAAAGCCAGGCTTCATCTGCGTTATCTTACAAACCAGGCTTCATCTGCGTTATCTTATAAGCTAGGCTTCATCTGCGTTATCTTACAAGCCAGGCTTCATCTGCGTTATCTTATAAGCTAGGCTTCATCTGCGTTATCTTACAAGCCAGGCTTCATCTGCGTTATCTTACAAGCCAGCCTTCATCTGCGTTATCTTATAAGCTAGGCTTCATCTGCGTTATCTTATAAGCTAGGCTTCATCTGCGTTATCTTACAAGCCAGGCTTCATCTGCGTTATCTTATAAGCTAGGCTTCATCTGCGTTATCTTACAAGCCAGCCTTCATCTGCGTTATCTTATAAGCTAGGCTTCATCTGCGTTATCTTATAAGCCAGGCTTCATCTGCGTTATCTTACAAGCCAGGCTTCATCTGCGTTATCTTACAAGCAGGCTTCATCTGCGTTATCTTACAAGCCAGGCTTCATCTGCGTTATCTTACAAGCCAGGCTTCATCTGCGTTATCTTACAAGCCAGGCTTCATCTGCGTTATCTTACAAGCCAGGCTTCATCTGCGTTATCTTAAAAGCCAGGCTTCATCTGCGTTATCTTAAAAGCCAGGCTTCATCTGCGTTATCTTAAAAGCCAGGCTTCATATGTGTTATCTTAAAAGCCAGGCTTCATCTGCGTTATCTTAAAAGCCAGGCTTCATCTGCGTTATCTTAAAAGCCAGGCTTCATATGTGTTATCTTAAAAGCCAGGCTTCATCTGCGTTATCTTACAAGCCAGGCTTCATCTGCGTTATCTTACAAGCCAGGCTTCATCTGCGTTATCTTACAAGCCAGGCTTCATCTGCGTTATCTTACAAGCCAGGCTTCATCTGCGTTATCTTAAAAGCCAGGCTTCATATGTGTTATCTTACAAGCTAGGTTTCATCTGCGTTATCTTACAAGCCAGGCTTCATATGTGTTATCTTACAAGCCAGGCTTCATCTGCGTTATCTTAAAAGCCAGGCTTCATATGTGTTATCTTACAAGCTAGGTTTCATCTGCGTTATCTTACAAGCCAGGCTTCATCTGCGTTATCTTACAAGCTAGGTTTCATCTGCGTTATCTTACAAGCCAGGCTTCATCTGCGTTATCTTACAAGCCAGGCTTCATATGTGTTATCTTACAAGCTAGGTTTCATCTGCGTTATCTTACAAGCCAGGCTTCATCTGCGTTATCTTACAAGCTAGGTTTCATCTGCGTTATCTTACAAGCCAGGCTTCATCTGCGTTATCTTACAAGCCAGGCTTCATCTGCGTTATCTTACAAGCCAGGCTTCATCTGCGTTATCTTAAAAGCCAGGCTTCATATGTGTTATCTTACAAGCTAGGTTTCATCTGCGTTATCTTACAAGCCAGGCTTCATATGTGTTATCTTAAAAGCCAGGCTTCATCTGTGTTATCTTAAAAGCCAGGCTTCATCTGCGTTATCTTACAAGCCAGGCTTCATCTGCGTTATCTTACAAGCCAGGCTTCATCTGCGTTATCTTACAAGCCAGGCTTCATCTGCGTTATCTTACAAGCCAGGCTTCATATGTGTTATCTTACAAGCTAGGTTTCATCTGCGTTATCTTAAAAGCCAGGCTTCATCTGCGTTATCTTAAAAGCCAGGCTTCATCTGTGTTATCTTAAAAGCCAGGCTTCATCTGCGTTATCTTACAAGCCAGGCTTCATCTGCGTTATCTTACAAGCCAGGCTTCATCTGCGTTATCTTACAAGCCAGGCTTCATCTGCGTTATCTTACAAGCCAGGCTTCATCTGCGTTATCTTACAAGCCAGGCTTCATCTGCGTTATCTTACAAGCCAGGCTTCATCTGCGTTATCTTACAAGCCAGGCTTCATCTGCGTTATCTTACAAGCCAGGCTTCATCTGTGTTATCTTACAAGCTAGGCTTCATCTGCGTTATCTTATAAGCCAGGCTTCATCTGTGTTATCTTACAAGCCAGGCTTCATCTGTGTTATCTTACAAGCCAGGCTTCATCTGCGTTATCTTATAAGCTAGGTTTCATCTGCGTTATCTTACAAGCCAGGCTTCATCTGCGTTATCTTACAAGCCAGGCTTCACCTGTGTTATCCTATAAGGTAGGCTTCATTTATGTTATCTCACAAGCGAGGCTTCATCTGTCTCATCTTACAAGCGAGACTTCATCTGTCTCATATTACAAGCGAGGCTTCATCTGTCTCATATTACAAGCGAGGCTTCATCTGTCTCATATTATAAGCGAGGCTTCATCTGTCTCATTACAAGCGAGGCTTCATCTGTTTCATCTTACAAGCGAGGCTTCATCTGTCTCATTACAAGCGAGGCTTCATCTGTCTCATATTACAAGCGAGGCTTCATCTGTCTCATATTACAAGCGAGGCTTCATCTGTCTCATATTACAAGCGAGGCTTCATCTGTCTCATATTACAAGCGAGGCTTCATCTGTCTCATATTATAAGCGAGGCTTCATCTGTCTCATTACAAGCGAGGCTTCATCTGTCTCATATTACAAGCGAGGCTTCATCTGTCTCATATTACAAGCCAGGCTTCATCTGTCTCATCTTACAAGCGAGGCTTCATCTCTCTCATCTTACAAGCCAGGCTTCATCTGTCTCATATTACAAGCCAGGCTTCATCTGTCTCATCTTACAAGCGAGGCTTCATCTCTCTCATCTTACAAGCCAGGCTTCATCTGTCTCATATTACAAGCGAGGCTTCATCTGTCTCATCTTACAAGCGAGGCTTCATCTGTCTCATATTACAAGCGAGGCTTCATCTGTCTCATCTTACAAGCCAGGCTTCATCTGTCTCATCTTACAAGCGAGGCTTCATCTGTCTCATCTTACAAGCCAGGCTTCATCTGTCTCATCTTACAAGCGAGGCTTCATCTGTCTCATCTTACAAGCCAGGCTTCATCTGTCTCATCTTACAAGCGAGGCTTCATCTGTCTCATCTTACAAGCCAGGCTTCATCTGTCTCATCATACAAGCCAGGCTTCATCTGTCTCATCATACAAGCCAGGCTTCATCTGTCTCATCTTACAAGCGAGGCTTCATCTGTCTCATCTTACAAGCCAGGCTTCATCTGTCTCATCTTACAAGCGAGGCTTCATCTGTCTCATCTTACAAGCCAGGCTTCATCTGTCATATCAGCAGGCTTCATCTGTCTCATCTACAAGCCAGGCTTCATCTGTCTCTCATACAAGCCAGACTTCATCTGTCTCATCATACAAGCCAGACTTCATCTGTCTCATCATACAAGCCAGGCTTCATCTGTCTCATCATACAAGCCAGACTTCATCTGTCTCATCATACAAGCCAGACTTCATCTGTCTCATCATACAAGCCAGACTTCATCTGTCTCATCATACAAGCCAGACTTCATCTGTCTCATCATACAAGCCAGACTTCATCTGTCTCATCATACAAGCCAGACTTCATCTGTTCATCTTTCAAGCCAGCTTCTTCTGTCTCATCTTTCAAGCCAGGCTTCATCTGTCTCATCATACAAGCCAGACTTCATCTGTTCTCATACAAGCCAGGGCTTCATCTGTTTATTTTATACAAGCCAGGCTTCTTTACCAACCCGTTTCAAACTCGTCGATTTCTATTGTTTTCGCGAAAGTGATATCGGAAGAAACTGCTAATGTACATTCATTTACAATACTCTCACAGATGACTTGGGAATCTTCTATCTTATCTATCCGTCTATCTATCCACCACCACACACACACACACACACACACACACACACACAACACACACACACCACACACACACACACACCCACACACCACACACACACACACACACACACACACACACACACACACACACACCACACACACACACACACACACACACACACACACACACACACAC